TTTTTTTTCCCCCCCCCCCCCCATCTTGCCCTGTCTCTACTACCTCCTATCCTTGTTTTTGTTCTTCACTATCCCCTCAAACTGACTGCCCTTCTGTCGGTGTCCTCTTATATATGTTACTTTTTATTTTATCTTTACTTCCATGTAAGATACGTTGAAAGACAGGACAAGCGAGAGTGTGATGAGCGGACTCTGGACGACTGATACCACAGTGTTTACTGGCTGATGAGAGGGGCGAGCAGCACAAGCTGTGTCTTGTATGGTTGGAGGGTTTTAGTATGGTTCATCAGGATCCCTCAGTTTGGAAGTGTGTGTGTATATATATATATTTCCTTTTGTTTGGCACAGGGGCAGATGTCAGCCTTTTAGAGCATTTTACATCAGATTTGTATCATTCACTGTATGTCCTCATTCTAAATTATGCTGTCAATATGCTTGAGTGATTGACTGAATATAGTAATCCAGCGGCCAAGCTCAGTTTTCACTTTGATTGTGACCCGGGGGGGGGGGGAAGGACCACTCAGTGAAGGCCAGAGTGTCATATAAAAGTGCATGTGTGACGCAGGGCTCCCAAAGTTGAAACTCACTGAGCTCCAATTTTTACACAATTTACACAAATGCCGAAAAAGCTCAAGTGCAGCATACAAGCACTGGGTGTCATGTAGACGGTGCATTCAAGAAACATTGAATCTAGGAAAATGATCTACTTTTAAAGAGTGAAAAAGGAGGGGGATTGTGTTGTTGCTTCAGTTTGAACTGCAATGTTGAACGTTTGCACTGTATCTTTGGTGTGCCATGCATTTCAGCCTCAGATGACGACACAGTGACCCTTCTCAGGCCAAAGTTTCTAGTTCCAAGTTGTCATGAATGAATCATCAATGCTCAAAGAGGGTTAGAGGAGTATATGGAACCTGAAAGCTAAATTCCTGTCAGTAGGGACCAGCATTTGTGTCCTGTATGCTGTGAGTAGACTAAATTTATGGTAAAAAACAAACAAACATTGTAGTGGGAGCAGCTCTTGGCACAGGGAATAAATAGTGTTATGAATTGTATTCAGACTTGAGAAATAAACTTCTATACTCATAAGTTGAAGTAGATTTATCTTAAAAATGTCCTTGGCCTGGTAAAGTGCTTTTCCAGGGTGCTTACTGACTGGATAGAATTTACCTGCAATGTGGTAAATCTGAGCTAGCACTACATCTGTCTGAGCTGTGCATGTATATGGCTGCCCTGCTGTCACTTTGTGCCATTTTGTTTGTAAATAAAATAGTTTTGCACAAATGTTTAATTGATGTGTTGTGTTGACTTTGCTGTTTAGTACACATATTGTATGTTTAATGTGCTTTCAATTGTATAATCAATTCAATAATTCAAGGTCATTTACAACCCAAGGTTGCAGAGTGAAAGTCAGATATAGTTCCCTTTATAGTGCTTTTAAAATAAAATAAAGTCAAAAAAATTATATAATGAGTTGTTGAGGAGGAATTTAACAGTCTGACAGCCTGAGTAAAGAAGCCGTCTGTAAGTGTGGTGGTATGACAGCAGAAGCTTCTTTACCTCTTTCCCGATGGCAGCAGGGTGAACAGGCTGTGGTGCTGTCTTTAAGAATCCTTTGGGCTCTGCGAAGGCTCCTCACCTCACAAATCTAACTGGTGCTGGGTATCTGAGTACTAACGATCTTCTGGTGGATTAATCACTTGCTGCTCCTCCTGTACTGGGCCTTGCACATCCAATGCCAGTTTGTGATGTTTCCAGTCAGGATGCTTTCTATTGCTCTTCTGTAAAAGAACTTGGCACAGGAATTTTGCCTTCCTAAGTTTCCTCAATAAATACAGTAGTTTCTGTGCTTTCTTAACCAGGGTGGAGATGTGAGATCACCATCACACGTTCTCTGTGAGGTTGATTGCCAGGAACCTAAAACAGCTCCACCTCAGTCCTACTGATGTAAACAGGGGAGTGTGTCTTAAATTCAACAATCAGCTCCTTGTTTTTGCTGAGGTTGAGCAGCAGATTGCTTTCTGTGCACCACTCTGTAATATTGTTGATTTCCTCCTGATATGAAGTCTTGTTGTTGTTTGAAATCCGGCCAATTACGGTGGGTGTCATCTGCAAACTTCACAACAGAGTTGTCTCCATCTCAGGGGGATGTAGTCAGGGGCGTACAGCGTGAATAGGAGGGGGCTGAGCACACAGCCCTGAGGGGCTCCAGTGTTGAGCACTAGAGTGGAGGAGGTCTGACCACCAATCCAAACTGT